AAGAGATGAGGACATCCAGCCCTGAGCAAGGGACTAGCTCAGTGTCCTAAAACTGAGGTCCTGACCAGCATCCCCTGGGCCTCCTTCCCTTGCACCTGGGGACAGAGGCAAATGGGCTCTGCCACCAAACACAGCACATGGCTCGAAATCAGGGTGTTGGGGCTGGGCCAACATTTGCCTTTTCCTACACGTCTCAGCAAAGCTACTCCAAACCCTCTCTTCCCGCAGCAGGAAAAGCATATGTTCTTTCCATATAGAGGAGAAATTGTTCCACAAGTGAGTAAGCCTCTTGGCGACGGAGCCCGGCCTAGCCCACAGCACGCCGGGCAGGAAGCGGGCAGCCTTCTTACCGCTCTTGGAACCAGACCCGGGCTGGCTCCTGACCCTCCAAGACAGCGGGCCTTTGGACGGGGCCTTTGGTGGGGAGCAGGGCCTGGGCAAGTGCCCGAAGACAGTTAGCCGGCCAGGCCAGAGAACTCATTCCCTGAATAGAAGCACTTTCCTCCACTCAGGCCAGGCTGGGCTGGGCGAAGGAGGGCGGGGAGGCCAAGGGGTTTGAGGGGGGCTAGAGAGCTCTCCAATCCCCTCACTCCAGCAGCAAATGGGCCTGAGTCAGAGGTGACTCAGGTACGCTCAGTGAAGCGGGGCCATTCCAAGACGGCCCTTCCCAGCCACCTCCAAATTCTCCTCCATGCCTCAGGGTTAAGTGGCAAAAAGTGACCCCATCCTCAGTGCCTCCATTCGTTCTGCCGGATCTTTCCAAAGCCAGCTCTGGGCTGGAGGATGCCACTAATTCCCTTGTCCCAATGGAGTCCTGGTTTCCTTCCCACCTTTTCGCCATCTAAGAATCCGCTGAGAATGGGGCTGAGGGGAGTGGGCCTAGAAGGGATAGACACGCCGGGTGGTGGGTGGGCCGGGGGTGGGGAGCAGACAGAGGAGAAATGGGAGGGGCTCCACAGAAGGGGAAACTGCTGAGGAAATTGGGGGCATCTAACCTGGAAAGTCAAAGACTCAGGGTAGGGGAGAGAGACATGAAAATGATCTAAAGGTGGGTGACAGGTCACGACATACAAGTGGAATTGCATTTATCCTGGGTGGGAGCCTCAGTGGGGCAAGCCCTGCACCTCTAAATCAGGGGCCCCACCCCACTGAGGAGTGCTTTCGAGACAGTGAAGTCTCTGTCTTGGGACATATGCAGGCCCCTGGTTGAAAGGAGTCAGGTGGGAAGTGGACTAGAGCTCAGGTCTCAAACTGGTGGCCTACGGGCCGGACACAGGCCTGAAGGGGTTTCCACTGGGCAGCATTTCTGCACGGCCACAATCGGCTGAGGCTGAGTGGCCCCTGCCCCGTCCAGCTGGGCACGCATTCCCAGTTCTGCACGGCACATCAGGCCCCAGTCACTCCTTTATTTCCTGCACTGGCCCCTTAGAGGAGGCCCTGCCCAGGGGGGGCCTTCTTCTTCTCTAGGCTCACCCTGTAGGCCCACCTGCGGCAGGACCTTCCCATGGGCTCAGGTGAGACCACATGCCATGAGCCAGATAGAGCTTTCGGCTGCTAGAAACCACCACCTGACTCTGAAGCTGGTGCTCTCTACTGGCTATACACAGAGACACGTCCTCTGCTCTCCTCAAGCTGCCATCATGCGGGGACCCATCATGGTCTCAGGGACTGGGTCTTCCCCCACCAGGACAGCAGAGTTACTCTCCTGGTCTTTCTGCCCTGGAGCAGAGATAGTCCCCCCAGGTATTTAGGGTCTGGGAAGGGCACCCAGAGCAGGTGCACTGTGAACTGAGGTAGAGGGGACCAAGTGAGGAAGCGCACCCCCTGGCCCCCGGTCCAGGAGGGCGGTGCAGGGGACAATGCCAGCAGGAGTGGGTCTGCAGGAAGGTGGGGCAGGGTTGGGGGGATGGGGGATTAGAAACTAACCGGGGGAGCAAAGTGGGGAAGCTAAGGGCTCGGGAAGGAGAGAGCAGAAGGCAAGGTGATGCAGAGCCCAGCTCGGCCCTCTCCCCGTGTGCCTGGGGTGGAGCCCGACCTGCCCTTGCCAGGACTGAGGGCGGAGAACAGGAGGGGGTGTGCTCCCTGGGCAAGGAGATTCCACCTGCAGCCAGTCTAGGCTGGGGCAGATTGCAGGGCGATTTCGCTTCCCTGGCCCCATCTGCTCCCCTGAGAGCTGTGGGAATTGGGACTAATAGTCCCATTTTACAGATGAGGAGACTGAGGTGGAAGTTGTGCAAGGCCGAGTCTAGCCCCTGGGTAGGAGCGGGGCTCCTGGGCATTCACCAGGTCTGGGCTGCTGGGAGTGGGTCTGCTGCGGACGATAGGATTCGTCCATCCCAGCAAACATGACCTTCCTCTCCTCTGCGCTTTACACCCTCGGCCAATGACACCACCACTTGCAGGCCACGACTCCGGGTGTGCTGGGACCCAGGGGGGTCGGGAGTCCCGCGGCACAGCCCAGAGGCAGGCCTTTATTTTGATTATGATCAGTGGTGCCGGGGGCCGTTCGTGGGTCCCTACCCCCCACCAGCTGGGGCTAGGCACCGTGCGTATGAGACCTCCAGTCTCTTCTCCCCCCACCTGATGGATGGGGCACCTGCTCTCTCAGAGCTGAGACACGCAAGCCAAGTCAGCCTGACTCTGAAGCTGGTGCTTTCTACTGGCTATACAGAAGGTGGGGGGTCTCGCGAGTGGGGCCAGGGCCCACGGCACACGCCCCCCCAGGTCCTGACCCTCACTCAGCGCCCCCCTGGGAGGTGGGGTGGGCGCCTCCCCACTGGGGGCATCCAAGCACCGCAGCCGGAAGCGGGAAGCTGGGTTAGAGACTTCCTTGGGGAGCCCCGGTTCACCCCTCCTTTCAAGGTGGAAAAGACCTTGGCCCGGGAGTCCTACAGAACTGGGGCTCACCTTCCAGGCCCGGCTATAACTCACTCTAGCTCAGTGGCTGAGGGAGGGGGGCCTACAGGGTCCCTGCTGCAGCCCCCTAGCCATTTTTAAAGACACAGCCCCTCACACCTCATGCCTCCTAAGTGTTCCTGGCTGCTTCGGCCTTGGAGGCCCCCGGGACCGCAGACGGCCCAAGGGCACCGCCTGGTGGCCAGTCTTAGCCAGGCAAGGCAGCCGCAGAGGGCCCGGTCACAGCCCTGAAGTCGGTGGGGCCCTGGGGCCGGAGAGAACCGGAGAGAACCGTGAGGGAGCAAGCTGCCCCTCCCCGCTCTCGCAGACGTGCGAGGGAGGGAGCCCCCCGGGTTCCCAGAGGTCAGCGTGCAAATGGGAGGCACTGCCACTGGGATGCGCTCTGAGGGAACAGCTCTCGAGTTCGGGGTCGGGGGGGCCTGGATTTGAATCCCTTGGGTCCTTAACCTCACCTCGAGTCCCTCATCTACGTAGTGGGGCTATTTAGCACACATTTTTCAGGGCTGTGGACCTCTCTGCATGAGCAGGTGGCTGGGGGAGACGGCAGGGGGCAAGGCTGGGCCGGCAGCAGGAGTCTACCCTGGTGGTACTCGGACCCCAAGCTGACGGCTCTCAACTGTGGCCGCACATGACAGTCAGCTGATGCTCCGCTGTGCCTCTCAAAGCATGCGGCAGAATCAACGGGCAACTCGTGAGAAATGCAGATTCTGGGGCTCCACCCCAGACCTGCTGAGTTGGCAATTCTGGGGTTGGGGTCCAGCACCCTCCAGGTGATGTTGATGCTCCGTCCAGTGTGAGAACACTGTGCTTAGGGACTGGGGTTGCCTAAAAAGCATCTCAGGTGATTCAAACGTCCTGGGCATCGGAATCGCCTGTGGAGGTCCTGATCAGAATCAGCTGCCCCCCCACTCCCCCCGCCACACACACACACACACACATACACACACACACACGAGTCATTCTGGTTTAGAGGCACCCGGGCATGGATTAAAATAATGACTACAGCTGACCCCAATGAGCAGTCTTCTGATGTGGACTCTTCTCAGAGGTCCAGCCCCCGTGGCAGAGTGTAGCTGCTCTCCCCGGGGTCTCCTAGATCAGAGTGATGCAGACAGTAACCAGTCGTTACTGACGTTTGCTGGGTGTGTAAGCTCTGACAGGCGTGGTGCCAGGAGCTTTGTGTGCGACATCACACAAGAACCCTATCAATTGTGGGGCGCCTGGGTGGCTCAGTCGGTTAAGCGACTGCCTTCAGCTCAGGTCATGATCCTGGAGTCCCGGGATCGAGTCCTGCATCAGGCTCCCTGCTCAGCAGGGGGTCTGCTTCTCCCTCTGACCCTCCCCCCTCTCATGTGCTCTCTCTCATTCTCTCTCTCTCAAATAAATAAATAAAATCTTAAAAAAAAAAAAGAACCTATCAATTGTTAGAATTCCCCATTTTAGGGGATGCCTGGGTGGCTCGGTCGGTTAAGCGTCTGCCTTCGGCTCGGGTCATGATCCCAGGGTTCTGGGATCGAGCCCCGCGTCGGGCTCCCTGCTGGGTGGGAAGCCTGCTTCTCCCTCTCCCTCTGGTGCTCCCCCTGCTTGTGCTCTCTCTGCCAAATAAATAAATAAAATCTTTAAAAAGAAAAGAATTTCCCATTTTACACATGGAGAAACTGAGGCTTGGGGAAGTTAAGTAACTCAACTCTAGCTACTAAATGGCAGAACCAAGACTCCAACTTAGTTCTGACTTCAAAATCCACTACCTTTGCTTCCTCATTTTACAAGAGGGATGACTTGCTGAAGGTCGCCACATTCTCCGTACCTCCGTGCCACAGCCATGGCACCCATTTCAAGATGGCACGAATGGACCTCGGAGCCGGGTGCCACCGCCCTGGACGTAAATGCAACAGGAAAAGGGAGGCAGGGGCAAGGCTTTAGTTACATGCCACCTAGATTCCTCCAGCTGCTTCTTGGATACACAGGATTCAAGATTATTCAGGAAACTGACGCCCCCGCCAGCCGCGCACCCCACCCCCGTTCTAGCTCAGTGTCTTGATGGTCCTCTAAGCATCACACGGACTGGGGCCCATCACCCTTACCCAGCTCAGAAAAAGGCCAGAGGAGTATCCAATGATGGAGTAGAAAAAATATAGAGCTATTTTACTGCTAAAGACACATTTTCCAAAAGCAAGGGGGTTGCTGTCTTGAAGAGACGAAGACTTCGGGATGAAGGCAGAACTCCAGTCCCGCTCCACCCGGCGGGCCCTCAGCGGGCTCGAATGCGCCGGGAGATCCGGTAGAGCTCCATGGCTGCCCTGGCGTCCTCCACCGAGCTGTGTCCAAAGCAGCTGTTCTGTAGACACAGGCAGGGGCGTGGGCTGGGGGTGAAGGCAGAGACCCCGTGTGACCCGGGCCTTCCCCGCTCACACCCCAGGTTCCAGGGCCCCCATGTGGGTCAGTGGGTGAGTCTCTGCAGGTTTCTGACACCCTGGACTCAGCAAGTGGCTGGAGCAGGCCTGGCTTCAGCTGTCAGCCCCGGAGCTGGGGCCCTAGGCCCAGGTGTGGCCAGGCACTGCTTCCGGCATCCATCCGGAGAGCCGGGCTGTGCCCTCCAGGTGCTCATCAGCCGGTGGGGGGAGGGGGTGCTGCAGATTGCTGTCAGACACTTAGGGAGCTCCAGGGCACCGGGCCCATATAGAAAAATAGGTCAAAACGATGTTTCTAGGGGCGCCTGGGTGGCTCAGTCATTAAGTGCCTGCCTTCGGCTCAGGTCATGATCCCAGCGTTCTGGGATCGAGCCCCGCATCGGGCTCCCCGCTCGGCGGGAAGCCTGCCTCTCCCCCCTCCACTCCCCCTGCCTGTGCTCCTCTCTCACTGTGTCTCTCTCTGTCAAATAAAAAATAAAATCTTTAAAAAAAACCGATGTTTCTAAAGCGCTACCTCAGTGAATCCGTGTGCTGACCACTCTGTCCTTGGTCCTGTGTGCCACAAGGCTAACAGAGGGGCCCAAATTCAGGTCCCTTCCCTGCGACCTACACAGTCCCCAGTCGCCTGGCCAAGCGGTGCCTCACACCTCAGGCTGGGGCTCCTGCTCGCCCCTCCCCGCCCCCCTCCACGAAGACTCACCCTTCGGACCGCTGCACACCTGCCCTCCTCCCCGCCCACCCGTCCTTCATCCCTTCGGGCTAATGGGCCACCCTCCCTTCCACCAAGAGTTGCCCAAGCACAGGGTCCAGCCCTGCCGAGCCGTGCGTCTCCAGCCCCCCGTCCAGCCTGGCCCAGAGTAGGTGCTGATAAATAGCTGTTGACTGGGAGGACCCCCACGTGGAGCTGCGACTGCTAGTGTCTGGCCCACCGCCCTCGGCCCTGCCAGCTCGGTGACCTCCCAAGCACCAGCACCCGGGCGCCTTCGCCTGGAGGTGCTGAGGATGGGGGGCCCCGGGAGCAGCAGTAGCTGTGCCTGATGGGAGCTGTCAATACCTCCGCTCCCTGCATAGATCTGAGGTCTGTGGGATTTCCCAGAGGCCCGCAGTGGGGTTAAGCTTCAGTTATCCCGGGGCAACTGGCTTGAGTTTAAAAGCACACGAACAAAGCCTTTGTTGGGTGCCTTCCCTTCCCTGCCTCACATCCTCGCTCTCCCAATGCGTCCTGGGGTCACCTCTTGAATAAACCTCCCGCACTCTGGTGCTTGTTTGGGGCCGGGGGCCGGGGAAGCCCGAAGCCAGCGCCCCTCCTTACTCGCGTGCCCACAGCTGCTCAGGACTGGGCGGGGAGCGGGTGGTGGGCAGAGCATCTTTGGGGCCAAATGTGGGGGTTCTGGAGCCCCTGGGGGATGTGAGAGCCCTGCAGGGGGGAGGGGGCCCCCGGGTCCCGGGAAGGCAGGGGGGTGCTCACCTGGATGTGCCGCCCGAGGAGACGCTCGCTGAGCACCCGGAGGGAGACCCGCTTGCAGGACAGCAGTTTGGCTTCTCGCTGCAGCAGCCTGTCGGTGGACGTGTCGTAGATGGAGTAGTTGCTCATGTTCTCTCTCAGCGCCTGAAAGTCGTGCTTCAGGTCGTGACCCACCACCAGCTTGCCTCTCAGAAGCTGCAGGATCTGGCCGGGAAGACAGGCAGCCCACGTCTCACGCAGGGTCCTCTGCGTGGATCTGGGGCAACTGGTAGGAAGCAGCCCCTCCTCGGCTTGCTGTGTGACTGTGAGCAAACTGTCCCCCCCTCTCTGGGCTTCCAACCTATCCTCTATAAAATGAGGAGACTGGACCGGGCCCCTCCTCACGCTCAGTGGTTGAGGTCCATGCCAAAGGCGTGTCCCCGACTCCTTCAGTGGCTTCCACAGCAGTGGCCGGTGCTGAATATGGCCCACGTGCCAGGCTAAGTATGTCATCTAATCCTTTCAACAGCCCTACTGTGGCAGGCAGAATAATGACCTCCCAAAGATGCAGACGCGTTGCCTGGCAGAAGGGAGTTAAAGTTGCGGATGGGCTCAGGTAGAAGACGACCTCCCGATAAGGGAGATCGCCTGGATTACCCGCGTGGCCCAACATAATCGCAAGGGCCCCTATATGTAGACGTCAGTGATTTGTCCTGAGGACTTGGCATGCAGCTGCTGGTCTTGCCGAGGGAGGAAGGGGCCAGGCGTCAAGGACACGGTGGCCTCTAGAAGCTGGAAAAGGCAAGGAAACGCACCCTCCCTCAGAGCTTCCAGAAAGGAACGCAGCCCTGCCTACACCCCGATTTCGGCCAATGAGACCCGTGCCAGACTTCTGAACTGTGGAATGGCGAGCTAACACATGCCACTCAGCTTTTGCTTTGTTACAGCAGAACCACAAAAAGCTAACACAGCGATGAGAGAGGCCTGTATTTGACTGACATTTTGCAGAGGAGAAAAACTGAAGCACCAAGAAAGGGAAATCATTTGCCCCAGGTTACTCTGCGGATTTTAAAGCCAGTTTGCGGATCCCTTGGCACCTCTGCTCTCCAAAGATGGAGCTCAATCCCCCTTGCCTGGAACGAATATGGGCCAGCCTGTGTGACTTCTGACTTCTCTGGGGGCCAGTCCCCCAGCAGCCCCGAGCTACCCCGAAGCCACCTGCTGGAGTGACCACAGGGAGGCGGAGAGCCATGCCCGAGGGGCCCCGGCGCCAGCCACCGGATGGGTGGGCAAGCGAACTTCCCGATGACTCCGGCTCCGGGCCTGTGGGACGCCTGAGCCTCCCAGCTGGCCCCATCGGCCAAGCCCTGTCCAGATTGCAGATGCACGAGCGAAGTAAATATTGACCTTGTTCGAGCCACTCGGTTTGGAGGTGATTTGCGAAGCACCGTTAGATCACTGGGACAGTCACATAGCCAGTTAGGGACTCAGTGCTAGAGCCAGCCTTCAGAGCCAGCAGCTGCTTGTCTCCACCACACTCCCAAAGAGGCTGCTCCAGGCCCTCACCAGCCACACAGCTGAGCTTTGGGGAGCAACCCCTGAAGTACCCTCACACGTGCCCAAGCCTGTCGTCTTGCCTCTATCCTGACTCCTTTCCCATGGTGGCCCCGTGGACAACCTCCTACCTCGAGCCACATGGGCCACTCCCCTCTCTTTACGCTGGCTGCCATCAGAGAGGACGGGAGGGGGGATCTCGGGCGGAGCTGGAGGGGCAGCTTGGGGCTCAGGCCCCCCTTTGGACAGCTCTCCGATAGCTTCTGCCCTGTCTTCTGGGCCTGGGGGAGACTTCTCACAGGGCTGACACCCTCCCATGCCCCGCTTCTGCTTCTACTGGCCTCCTGGGACATCACGTGGGGCATTGCACGCTCTCCCTTGGCCACCACAGGATCCCTGTGGCCACTCTACAGAAGGGGAAGCCAAGGCTCAGAGACACGAGGCGACTTGTCCATGGGGTCTGTCCATCTCCTGTCAGCAGGCAGTGTCACCAGCCTGCCCATCACCCCCTCCCCGTTCCCGTGGTTTTGTCGGTTTGTTGGGACCACCGCTGCACAGAGCCCACAGTCAGCCTAGGGACTGGGGAGGCTCGCTTGAGGAATGGAGCTGGGCCGGTCGCATGGACACCAGGGCTGCTCACGCTTGGGCTGAGGCGTCACCCGGTGAAGGCCCAGACATCCGGGATTCCGATTTCGCATTTCGACAGCTGGCGCCGCCGCTGCTGATCCAGGGCTCACGCGAGTGGCGAGGGCACACGGCCTCAGCAGCAGCTCGAGGCCTGCGTGTGGAGGAGAGCGCAGTGGCCAGCACTAGGCCGCGCTGGGCGGCCGGGGTCACGCGCCCTTTCTCGTAGGGACATCCTTTAACTTTCCCAAACAATGTGGCCTGTTTTCCCCCAATGACGAGCTGGCTCAGGGCCCAGTTCACACAGAGCCCCGAGGGACTGTCTGCCATCCCAGAAACGGCAGCCACAAGAGGACCGAGTCCCTGGGAGGTGGATTCCTGGGAACTTAATCACTTCCGGAGCCCGAGGGTCTCCGGGGCTGGGGGAGGGGGGTGGTGGCTACGGTCAGCACCACGGGGGACTCAAGATGAGACAGATAAAATACCAGGAGAGGACAAGCAGAAGGAAGAGGAAGCCAGGAAAAGAGAAGAATCTGTTTGGCAGAGAGATGCCCGCCACCGTGCAGGCCAAGGATGCTGGGCGCTGGGCAGGGAGAGACTGCAGGTCCTCGCTATGTGCTCTCAGAGGTCAGACCGCGTCTGGGCTTCGGCTCCCCGGGTGCAAGGTGAAGGCCGGGAGAGGTGAGGCTCCAGCGGCCCCTTCGCAGCCAGGGCTCCACCGACTTCCTGAGGCAGGGCTGGGGAGGGAAGCGGGGTGGGGGGGGCCGCTGGAGCCCGGGGGCGGGACCTCAGGGCTGTGTGACCTGCTTTGGCTGCGGGACCTGCCCTGAGTCAGCGTCAGGAGGCGGGTGTGTCAGACCCAGGAATCGCTCAAATTCCTGGAGAGAGCCCACTGGGTTGGAGGAGGGCCATTCACCCATGTGCTCTCGTCGCTGGCCCTGGGCCAGGGACTTTCCTCACCTCACCCGGGCACCTCTCAGCACGAGGATTCCCATTTCCCTGCCACAGGGGAGGGCACTGGGGGCCAGAGAGGTGGAGAGGCTTGCCCAGGGGACACAGCTGGTGACCTGAGAGCTGCAGCGAGGTATCCGGATCTGCCTGACCCGTCCCTATCCTTACACTTGTCCTTGTCACCACCTGCTGAGAACCTAGTTCAGCGGTAGTGATGTCAGAGGGGAGAGCGATGTTGGACCTGTGTCCGCTCTCTGAGGACTTCCTGAAGCAGGAATGGGGCCCCTGTGCGGCTGGAATCATCATGCCATCTTACTGACGGGGACAGGGGGACACAGCGGCGTGTGCTGGTGTCACACGGAAGGGGGATGACAGCCTGATGCCACTGCATTCCCACTCTCGTTCCAAGTATTTCCCAGATGTGCCTGATCAGAAAAATCACCTGGGGCCCTTGTTAACAATCCAGAGGGCCAGGCCCTTCGGTCACCTTCCGGAGTGGCCCCGGTCCCCTCCGTCCTCCGGTCCCCTGGCCGGCTCTGCAGGTGTGCCCACCCCAGCTTGTGCCCGCATCCCACAAGGCTGCTTCTGCTGGGGGAAACCTGGATGGTGAAGTCATCCTCCTCCATCTGGCCAGGCCCCAGAGATACCGGCCCAGGGGCGGGGCCCCAGCAGTGCACTTGGCCCAGGCAAGGGCAGCTATACTGGAAACAGCTGTCAGAGGTCTCCCTTCTGCTGCATTTCCCTCCTAAGCCGGGAGGCTTCATGGGATTCAGCTGGTTTGTTTGCCAGCTAAAAATGTAATTATCCCTCCCCGATCCCAGTCATGGGTAGATGCTATTCAACAGACTGGGTTAACATTAAGAGAGCATTAACTTACAAAAAATAAACTATAACCGATTAAAAATTACTGTTAGAAAAACAACAACAACAACAGCAGCATGAACCCACCAGGTGAGAGCCCTGAATCTGAACATCGAGTTGTGTCACAGCTTGCTGTGTGTCCTTAAGCAAGTCACTGCCCCTCTCTGGACCTGTCTCCTCATGGGTTCTCTCCTGCGCTGACAGCCTGATTTGTGGGGCTCTCTAGAGCAGGTTCTCAACTTGGGCACTGTCGATACTTCTTTGGCGTCTGTGTGGCCAGGGGAGGGGCTGTCCTGTGCATTATAGGATGGCTTAGCACCATCCCTGTCCTCTCCCCACTGGATATCAGTAGCAGACCCCCTGCCCCACTATGACAACCAGAAATGTCTCCAGATACTGCTAAACGTCCCTTGGGGGGCAAAATCATTCCACACTGGGAATCACCGCTCTAGATGATGGGCAGACCTAGAGGTTTCAGAAGATAACAGGCAGTAACTTTCCACTATAAAAGTAATGTGACCACATTTCAAAAAGATAAAAATAAAGAGAGAAGGGAGTAGCAGGATCCCGGGCACAACCCTCCTGGGTGGGCTGGGTGGGGCTTCGTGGCTCCCCAGAGCCCTGCTGGCTGCCTGGGCTGGTCTATGGCTCACCAGGAGCGGGGCCCACTTGCGCTCCCGTCGGAGGAAGAGACAGGCTGGTGAGCAGCGTTTGAAAGTTGCCTGCGTGAAACCAAGGCCTGGCGAGCCCTAGACTCACCTGAGAGGTGTCACCCAGCCCTGTGGGGGTCTGATAAATGGCTGATAGGCTTCTTCCCTTTGGGATCCCCCCACCCCAGCACATCTTGGGACCCGTGAGCCCCGACTCTGACTTTGGGATTAGAACATATGGGTGATAGAGTGGGCTCGAGCTGCCTCTGTGTCCTTGTTCATGGAAACGAACGACCGCGGTTGCGTTGTCCCACATCTTCATGCCCAGGCTGGGCCTGACACCGTCCCTTACATACACTGGACATAGCATTCCGAGAGCACATTTATACACGTCCATCATGGGATTGAATATCCCAGAGCAAATTCTGGAGCCAGAATTTGGGTCTCTGCTCTATGCCTTCCTTGGACAGCTTGCTCAGCCTTGCTCCTCTGTTTGCTCATCTGTAAAATGGGGTAGCGGTGCTGGTTAACGACTTCCCAGGACTCTTGCGGGGAGCAAAGGCAGTGGTGTGTGGAAAGCGCTTAGAACAGAGCCAGGACATGGTGCTGGACTCCCCTGCGCTGCTTCACCCACCCTGCGGCACAGATGCTCCTACCGAAGGGCACAGAGAAGTTTAGCAACAAGCCAGAGGCCACAGACCCACGTCCACGCACGTCTAAGGACAGTGTGCTTGCCCTCCGGCCCCAGGCTGGGTGTGCATCCCTGCCTCCTGGCAGCCAAGGCCGGCATGAGGGCAGAGGCAATTTTGTTCCACACAGCTGCCAGAACTCCTGTATTTTGTGAAAATCAATTCGACTCCAATCCCACAAACATTCTCAGGGTACCTTCTGTGCGCAAAGCACACCATCCAGTCTGGGGGCAGAATAAAACACATCGCAGCCGTGTGGAACTAGGCAGACCAGGTGTGTGGACAGGCAAGCTTTAAAGTACAGGGGCCACGGCAAGGAGAACTAGAGGCCCCACGCGGGGAGGTGGGGATGGTGGACAGGGTGGGGGAGGGCATCACGAAGGACTCCTCTGGCCTGAGCCTGCCAGCGTGGTAGCTGACCCGGGGCAGGGCTGGGGGCTGGGGGAGAGTAGGGGTGTGGCTGGATGGTAGCTGAGCTAGGAAGGAAGGTGGGACAGGCAAGTCGGTAGGGTTTGGAGGTCCATGAGTGTTGTGCTGGGGGACCTTGGGCAATGGGGAGCCATGGGAGGTATCTGAACAGTGGTATGGGGAGGCTGTGATCTGAGCCAGGCCTGGGAAAGTTTCTCTGGCACAGCATCCCTGCTGTTCAGGCAGAAAATGAGAGCCAGAATCTAAGATCACGGTTCTCAAGGGAAGTCAGAAAGGGGGCTCAGACCTATCATGTGGGTGTCTGCCCTTCTTTCTCCATGGGCACAGTCAGTGACCATCAGCTGCGGGCCCGGCATTGTGCTTTGGGCTACAGGCCACAGCACTGCATGCAACCTACTCGAGGCCAGGGAGGAGGCATTAGCAGCCCCTGTCTCTGATGAGCAAACAGGTTCAGAAAGGTTCGAGAACTTGCCAAAGGTCACACCAAGCAGTGAGTGATGGAGCAGGAAATGTAAACCCCAGATGTGGTTCAAAGGTCTGCCTGGTCTCTAGATTCTTGGCTCCCTCTCTGGGCAGGGCTCCGAGCTACACGGGAAGCCTCGGGCCTGGCCCAATCTCCAGCTGAGATTCGAAGCATTCTGCGCCGAATGTGGACGGGGACCTAGGCAGCCCGACGCCCAGGCCAGTGCTCCAAGGCACACAGCGACTTGGTTGCATGTCGAGAGCAGGGAACGCGAGCAGCATTTCCCTGCTGCCTCCTCTCCCCCAGGCTCTGGGCTCTCCGGCCTTCCTGCCGCTCTGCCAGCGAGGTGGTGGGGGGCTGGGGAGAGGAGGACGACGACGAAGGATGGAGACACGTAGTCCACCTGACTGCTCAGTGGGGATCTGAGTGTGGGGAGCTCCTGCCGTGTCCCTGGGCCTCCCGTTGACCCCTGAACATCCAACCCACCTCTTCCTTATGCTGCCCTCCCCTGCTTGGTGACTCCCCTTTGGCCACCTCCATCCTGACATTTTTTTTCTTCCCAGTCCTCTGTCTGCTGATGCCTTCCCAGAGACTCTGACTCACCCCCTATCGACATCTCTTTGCTCACTACCATCTATCCTCCACAGCACCCCCCATTCTAGTCTTCTCGAAACTTGGGTTTGAGCCTGCCATGCTCTTGCTCAAGAATCTTCCACGGCTCTCTGTGGCCCACTGGGTTGCAGACACAGGCTCCGAAAACCCCTTGTGAATACCACCAGCCTCACGGAGTCTTTCCAGAGCCATGCGGATGTACCGCATCCCCAGCTCAGGGTTCCCTGGCCTCCTCTTAGTACCTATAGGACAGTGCTGTCCAGTAGACACATAGTGTGAGCCACATGTGTAATTTTAAATCATCTAATGGCCATATTTAAAAAGGTAAAAATAGGGAAACTTAGTTTTAGTATGTTTCATTGAACCTAATATTCCAAAATACTATCATTTTAACACGTAAGTGATATAAAAAAGTATTGAGGTATTTTATGAATTTTTTAATAAAAGTCTTTGCAATCCCATGTGCATGTTACATTTACAGCACATCACGGTTCAGACCAGTCGCTTTTGGGGCGCTCATAGCCACATGTGGCTCGGCGGCCCCCTACTGGACACACAGCCCTAGAGGTCTGAGCCTAAGCTCTGAGTCCTGACCACCTTCCATTATGTGAACCTTGGCGAGTCACTTAGTGTTATGGGTTGAATTCATACGTTGAAATCCTAACCCCCAGTACCTCAAAATGTGACTTATTCGGAAATAGGGTCATTGCAGATGTAATTTGTGGAGGCCATCAGGGACCTAATACAACAGGACTGCTGTCCTTATAAACGAGCAACAGGGGCACAAAACACGCACACAAGGAGAACACAGGTGAACATGAAGGCAGAGATTAAGCTGATGCTTCTACAAGCCAAGACACACCCAGGACTGGCGGCCGACCCCCAGATGCTGGGAGAGAGA